GTAGGAGTTAGGGTGCTGGGGTAGCAGTTAGGGAGCTGGGGTAGGAGTTAGGGAGCTGGGGCAGGAGTTAGGGAGCTGGGGCAGCAGTTAGGGAGCTGGGGTAGGAGTTAGGGAGCTGGGACAGGAGTTTGGGGGCTGGGACAGGAGTTTGGGGGCTGGGGCAGGAGTTAGGGTGATGGGACAGTAGTTAGGGTTCTTATATCGGAGTTAGGGTGGTGGGACTGGAGTTAGGGTGCTGGGGAAGGAGTTAGGGTGCTGGGACAGGAGTTAGGTTGCTGAGGCTGGAGTTAGGGTGCTGGGGCAGGAGTTAGGGTGCTGGGGAAGGAGTTTGTGTGCTGGGACAGAAGTTTCGGTACTGGGACCGGAGTTAGGGTGCTGGGGCAGGAGTTGGGGTGCTGGGGCCGGAGTTAGGGTGCTGGTACAGGAGATAGGGTACTGGGAGAGGAGTTAGGGCGCTGGGACAGGAGATGGGGTGCTGGGGCTGGAGTTAGGGTGCTGGGACAGGAGATACGGTACTGGGACAGGAGTTAGGGTGCTGGGGCTGGAGTTAGGGTCCTGTGGCCGGAGTTAGGGTGCTGGGCCGGAGTTAGGGTGCTGGGTCGCAGTTAGGGTGCTGGGTTGGAGTTAGGGTGCTGGGTCGGAGTTAGGGTGCTGTGGCCGGAGTTAGTTAGGGTGCTGGGCCGCAGTTAGGGTGCTGTGGCCGGAGTTAGTTAGGGTGCTGGGCCGCAGTTAGGGTGCTGTGGCTGGAGTTAGGGTGCTGGGTTGGAGTTCGGGTGCTGGGCCGGAGTTAGGGTGCTGGGTCGCAGTTAGGGTGCTGGGTTGGAGTTAGGGTGCTGGGTCGGAGTTAGGGTGCTGTGGCCGGAGTTAGTTAGGGTGCTGGGCCGCAGTTAGGGTGCTGTGGCCGGAGTTAGTTAGGGTGCTGGGCCGCAGTTAGGGTGCTGTGGCCGGAGTTAGTTAGGGTGCTGGGCCGCAGTTAGGGTGCTGTGGCCGGAGTTAGTTAGGGTGCTGGGCCGCAGTTAGGGTGCTGTGGCCGGAGTTAGTTAGGGTGCTGGGCCGCAGTTAGGGTGCTGTGGCCGGAGTTAGTTAGGGTGCTGGGCCGCAGTTAGGGTGCTGTGGCCGGAGTTAGTTAGGGTGCTGGGCCGCAGTTAGGGTGCTGTGGCCGGAGTTAGTTAGGGTGCTGGGCCGCAGTTAGGGTGCTGTGGCCGGAGTTAGGGTGCTGGGCCGGAGTTAGGGTGCTGGGCCGGAGTTAGGGTCTGTGGCCGGAGTTAGGGTGCTGGGCCGGAGTTAGGGTGCTGGGTCGCAGTTAGGGTGCTGGGTTGGAGTTAGGGTGCTGGGTCGGAGTTAGGGTGCTGTGGCCGGAGTTAGTTAGGGTGCTGTGGCCGGAGTTAGGGTGCTGGGCCGGAGTTAGGGTGCTGGGTCGCAGTTAGGGTGCTGGGCCGGAGTTAGGGTGCTTGGAGAGGAGTTAGGGTGCTGTGGCCGGAGTTAGGGTGCTGGGCCGGAGTTAGGGTGCTGGGGCAGATCTTCGCAGAGTCACTGCCGCGGCTTCTGGAAGACGAGGACGCTGCGCACAACACCCAGGAAACAGTGCCGGATTCTGCGTTGACTTGGCCCTCAGCACTCGGGCCGGGCCGTGGCTCGCGTGGGTGCTGAGCTCGTATACTCGGTCTGTGTTCTAGCGAGTGTGTGATCGCGGACGGCCGCGTGCGTAAGTGACGTCGGCCGTGACGTTGGGCCCCTGGCGGGACAGGGCGGGAGACCCCGGCAGCCTGCACGGTGTGAGAACTCGGACGCGCGTGGTCGGAGGACGGACGGGATCGAGATCGATTCCAGACGGCGGATGGTGCAGGGACGGGTGATTGACAGATGATCGATACATGACGAGATCACGGTGGACCGACAGCGATGGGCGGTGACAGGACTCACAGGCGATACATGGTCGATACACGACGGATGATAGATCATTCATTGAGAGATGATCGATGGGAGATCGGTGATAGATGGGGCGTAGGCTAATCAATACGTGCTGGATACATGGATCAGATAGCTCAATGATGGACTGATCGATATAGATTGACGGATAGATACTTAGATTCAGAGGTGGAGACAGATTGATGGAAGAGGACTGACAGATACTTGATCAATAGGTGATGGATACGTAGGTAAATGATCAATATATAGATGGATGGCTCAGTACACACGCAGGAATGTTCATGCTTCCTCTTAGAGACGAATGGACACATGATACATGGATGGATGCATGAACCGTGCGTGAACACGTACGTGATCGACGATCGATTGATGACGGATGATTGATTGACAGACACACAGTCTGTATCGAGGGATGGACAGAAACGTGATGGACACATGCTACACGGAGAGGAAATACAGATAAGTAATAGATAGGGATTGATAGATGATGGCTGGATGATTGATAGACACATGATTGATTAACTGATACATGATAGATTGATAGATGATTGATTGATTGATAGATGATAGATTGATAGATGATTGATTGATTGATTGATACATGATAGATTGATAGATGATTGATTGATAGATGATTGATTGATTGATAGATGATATATAGATGATAGGTAGATAGATGATAGATAGATACATACATATATACATACATACATAGATGGTAGATAGACAGATGATAGATGGTGATAGACAGATGACAGTTGATAGGTACATGTTAACATATCTTAAATCAAAAATAGTGTGCCTATTTCTAATATACAATGGCACAGATAAATATTACATTTCCAAAAGAAAATGAGGGGTCCTAGTAAGGACTTATCAGTCCAAAGCAAGACTAACACCCGACAAGGCAAACCACAAACCCTGCAGCTCCATCCCAGGCATATGGGGTGTCTGTGATCATGTGATCTCCAAAGGACTCAGGTAGCCTCAACTCTCCAGCTCTGTTGCCTTAGGCACTTATAGCCTGTCTCTTGTGCTAGCTCTACTCCATATCTTCAGTATTCTGTTGCATACATCTCATGGTCTTTGCATCCCTAATATCTGAGGGTCACGGTTCATTGATAGACGATAGATTGATTCATTGATTGATTGACAGATAGATATGATAGATGATAGATACATTGATTGATTGATTGATTGATTAATTGTGGTTCATTGATAGACGATAGATTGATTCATTGATTGATTGACAGATAGATAGATATGATAGATGATAGATACATTGATTGATTGATTGATTAATTGATTGATTGATAGATAGATGATAGATAGACAAATGGACAGATAAATGATAGACGATAGATACATACACTACAATAACAGTGAAGGAGCCTGCACACTATGCATTCTTTTACAGACACTTATGAGCTGTGTAGCTCAGGCTGGACCCACTATGTAGCCCAGGCTGCTCTGGGACCCACTAAGTAGCCCAGGTTGGTCTGGGACCCACTGTGTAGCCCAGGCTGGACCCACTATGTAGCCCAGGCTGGTCTGGGACCCACTAAGTAGCCCAGGCTGGTCTGGGACCCACTGTGTAGCCCAGGCTGGACCCACTATGTAGCCCTGGCTGGCCTAGAACTCAGTATGGAGACCGGGCTGGCCTCGAACTCGCTATGTAGACCAGGCTAATCTGCAGACCTGCTACGTAGCCCAGGCTGCCCTCAGATTCGCTGTGCAGGCCCAGCCGGCCTTGAATTCCGTATGTAGAGCAGGCTGGCCTCAAAACAGTCAGGTAGCCAAGGCTGGACCCACTGTGTACACCAGGCTGATCTCGGACCCACTGTGCGTCCAGGCTGGCCTGGAACACCGGGCTGGCCCCAGACCCGCTGTGTAGCTCAGGCTGGCCTCGATTCACCCACCTCCGCCTCCCGAGTGCTGGGATTCCCGGCACCACGGATGCAGGAAAATCAAATGTTTAGGACACGTTTTACTTATGTCTCTGTATGTACCGGGTACAGCACCCACAGGGGCCAGAACACAGCGCCAGAGCCCCCGGAGCTGCAGTTTCAAGAGGCTGTGCACCGCCACGCGTGTGCTGAACTCGGTCCTCCTCACAAGCGGCCAGTGCTGTGACCCGCTGAGCCAGTTCTCCGGCCCCTCCCCGTGACATTGTTGACGTCCGTGCGTTCCCCAGCCTCCACTGGTTCTTCATTCCTTTTCCTGCCTGTATACTATTCCCTCGGGTGCTTCTAGCTCTTGAATATACAACATGCACAGAAGTAGTGATGCGCCTCAGTTCGCAGAGTGCTTACTCAGCATGGACGAGGCCCCAGGTTCCAGCACCGCGAATACCGAGCTTTGAGCCATCTCAGCACTTGGGGACGTGGAGGCACCACGCTCATACGTGCGAGTTTTCATCACCAGCCGGCGGCACTGTGGGTGGAGAATTGCATCATGGGTGCGCCCTCTGACGTCAGCAGTTACTGCATTGGTGACCTCAGGGCTCGAGGGACCGTTAGGGGCCGGGCTTAGCGCAGGTGACGTCACAGCGCATTGTGTATTCCTAGTCTATGGGTACCAGGCCCAGCACTTAGCATCCAGCACCCACCTACAACTGTGGATTCGACGCCCACCATCTATCCACACATTACCGAGCACTCAGCACCCACCCATGACTGCTGCAAGACACAGCACCCAGCACCCACGCATAACAACGAGACCCAGTACTCAGCACCCACCAGTGAGCACACAGTGCCAAACACTGAGGACCGACCCACGGCTGCGAGACTCAGCACTCAGCACCCACCCAGGACTGCTGCAGGAGCCAGCACCTTCCTGGGACCGCAGGACTCAGCCTTCAGCACCCACTCATGCCTTCTGCCAGAGCCAGCACCCACCGACGACTGCGGTACTCAGCACCCAGCACCCACCGAGGACTGCTGCAGGAGGCAGCACCCTCCGAAGACCGTGGGACTTAGCCCTCAGTACCCACTCATGCCTTCTACCAGAGCCAGCACCCACCCACGACTGCGGTACTCAGCACCCAGCACCCACCGAGGACTGCTGTAGGACATAGCACCCTCCTAAGACCGCGGGACTTAGCCCTCAGTCCCACTCATGCCTTCTGCAGGGTCCAGTATCCACCCATGACCAGGGGCTCAGCACCCAGCACCCGCCGCCAGCACTCCGGAGCGCCCGCCCCTCCGCCCAGCGAGCACCCGCGATTCGGGAGCCGCGATGACCGTGCTCGGCCGCTGGGTGGCGGGAGCCGACAAGGATCCACCGCACCACCTCCCGGAAGCCGAGCTGCGGGCGCGGACCGGGCTGCGGGGTCACGGGGTTGTGTCTCGCGGGACATGGGACTGTGTCAACCAAGCCTTCAAACCCGCAGCACCCTGCTGTTTCACCCAGACCCGGAGGGCTGGAGGTCAGGTAGGGTGCTGGGTGCTGGGTGCTGCGAAGGCCACGGGGAACCGGAAACCGTGTCCGAGGGGAAGTTGAAACCGTCTCTCGCAAGGGAACCTGGAATGCAGCCGCCTAGGGATACCGAGTCCTGACGTCACGCAAAGCTGCCCTGACGTCACGCAAAGCCGTCCTGGGTCCTGTTTTTTTCCCCGGCGTGAATTCTGACGTCGCTGAGACTCAGTCACGGGGTCGAGAGGGCGATCGGGCTCATGCTGAGCCACTGACGTCTGTGGTGCAGTCCAGAGCACAGAGTGCTTGCAGCTCGGTACGTAGAGTGCTTGTAGCTCAGTACGCAGTGCTTGTAGCTCGGTAAGTAGAGTGCTAATAGCATGGTGGGCATAGCACTTGGAGTTACGATTAGAGTGCTCGTAGCTGAGTGGGCAGAGTGCTTGCGGCACAGTGGGCACAGTGCTCATCACTCACTGGGTACAGTGCTTGTAGCTGAGTGGGTAGAGTACTTGTAGCTCGGCACACAGGGTGCTGAGAGCATAGTGGGTACAGTGCTTGTAGCTCACTGTTCAGAGTGCTCAGAGCTCAGTGGGTACAATGCTTTAGCTGAGTGTGCAGAGTGCTCATAGCTTAGTGAGTACAGTGCTCATAGCTGAGTGGGCAGAGTGCTTGCAGCACAGTGGGTACAGTGCTCATAGCTCACTGAGTACAGTACTTGTAGCTTCACTGTTCAGAGTGCTCAGAGCTCAGTGGGTACAATGCTTTAGCTGAGTGTGCAGAGTGCTCATAGCTTAGTGGGTACAGTGCTCATAGCTGAGTGGGCAGAGTGCTCATAGCTCACTGGGTACAGTGCTTGTAGCTGAGTGGATAGAGTACTTGTAGCTTGGTACACAGGGTGCTAATAGCATAATGGGTAGAGTGCTCATAGCTGAGTGGGTACAGTGCTTTAGCCGAGTGTGCAGAGTGCTTGTAGCACAGTGGGCAGAGCTCTTGTAGCGCCGTGGGTAGCGTGCAGTCCTCGCAGCAATCCTGCTGCCCCAGCAGTGCTGAGGTCACAGTTGTTCGCCCCCCTCCACGATAAACCCCAGAGCTGCCGCCCCCGCTCCGGGGTTGGGATGGCCCGGTGCATCCTGGGAGCTCACAGTCCTGCAGAGTGACTGAAATCATAGCACCCACCGAGGGCAGGAGGGGTCGTCTGGTCGCCCGGAGCCGGGGTTCCAGGAGGCTGTGCGCCGCCATGCGGGTGCTGGGAACCGAGTCCTCCGCCCGAGCCGCGGGTGCTGGTGTCGGCGAACGTCTGTGCAGCCGGTTTTGATTTCCATGACTTTTTGTGCACTGGCAAAGGAAACCAAGTCTCCAGTACCTGATCACCGAGGTCTAGTGCAGTCAGCACTGACTCCCAGCAGCCGGCACAGTCCGGTACTGAGCACCCGGCCGCTTTTCCCAGGAGAAACATCTGCCCCTCCTTGCCCCACGCTGACGTCATCGGCGCCCCCTGGCTTCCCCACGCTGACGTCATAATGGAAAGCCCTGAGGCGACCTTGGGCAAAGTGGCAGCAGTGAGGACTCCCAGAATGCTCCTCGGCCTCCCTGACCCCTGGCAGAGGGCCCGGGGGACCCCGCGGCCGGAAGTGGAGCCCCCAGCGGGTCCCTCCTTCCGCCTGGAAAAGGCCACCCTGGAGAAGCCGCTGCTCATTTGCATGCCTCTCATTTGCATATTGCTCATTTCAATATTTCCCCTTAAATGCTGCTCATTTAAGTCTCTCTGGTTTGAATATTGATTTCCTGCGTCCCGGAACCCCTGGCAGAGGGCCCGGGGGACCCCGAGGCCGGAAGTGGTGCCCCCAGCGGGTCCCTCCTTCCGCCTGGCAAAGGCCACACTCCAGAAACCGCTGCTCATTTAACCGTTGCTCATTTAAATACCGTGGTTTAAACACCCCTAATCCGAATACTGATTTCCTGCCTCCCTGACCCGGGCACAGGGGGACCCCGTGACCGGAAGTGGGTCCCCCACTGAGGCCCTTCTTCCCCGAGAAAATCCACGTGTGAGCAATCGCTGCTCGTGCGAAGGCCGCCAGTTTAAACGTTTCTAGTCTGCGCGTTAACAGCGGTCCTGTGGAATTTGACCGCCGCTCATTTACATACGGAGGATTTAAATATTGATCACCGATATTGGTCATTTAAACTTCTCTAATGGGCCTATTGCTGACTTAACTGTCAGTGCACACCGTAGTTCTAATCTGAATAGCCATCATTTAAATTCCGCCCATTGCAATGCTGCTAATTTAAATGCCCCTAATTAGTAAATTAATCCTAATTTGCATATTCCCTATTACCCCTGACTGCACGATCGCTGATCTGCGCGTTGCTGATTAAACATCGATGATCTAAGGGTCTTTATTTAAATGGCGCCGACGTGCGTGTCCCTGAATCCCACAGGCTGCGGGTTTGAGCGGTGCTTATTTGCATATCGCCGATTTGCATACAGCTCATTTGCATGCCACGGTGGAAGCCGATCAAACGCCTGGCGTGCGAATATTCCTGAGCAACTTGGCGTCCCGGGTGTGAAACCCGCACGGGGCCGCCCTGCCCTGCGCCGGCAGGGCCCTCACTTTCCGTCAACCCCTGGTTGCTACGGCAACATCAGTGTCCAGGCCAGGACTTTCCTCAGGGTGCTTGGCTGCGAGACTTAGCACCTCAGCCAGGGGGTGTTGGCCTCGGTTAACCTGCGCATGTGTCTGAAATATGAGGAGGGAGGCTGCACACGGCGCCCCCCGATCCCCGTCACCACCCCCGCCCCTCACCCCCACCTCGCGAGCACTTGGGCCGACTCCACTCAGAGCCCGCGTCCAAGCAGCGCCTGGATCCGACCCAGGGCTCTCCAGGGAAGGCGCCGAGCCCAGAGCACATCGAGGAAAAGGCCGCGGAGGCTTCCTGGCTCCCGGCTGGACAACCTGAGACCGAGAACATCAGGCGGGGCCTGGGGTTCGAGAACACTCAACCCACTTCCAGCGGCTCTGAATGAGCTCGAGCTTCTTGACAGCTGCATAATACTCCACTATATACATATATGTGTGTGTGTCTGTGTGCACTAAGTAGTTGTTAACTCATAGTTAATAAGTTCATTTTTCTTAGTGGGTGCATAATACTCCACCTCTGTGTATGTGTGTGTGTGTGTTTGTGCGCTTTAAGTGGCTGTTAACTCCTTCTTAATGGCTACATAATACTCCAGAACACACACACACACATATACACACACACACAGACACGTTAAGTTACTGTTAATGAGTTCCTTAAGTTCCTTATTGTTAATGGTTGCATAATACTCCCCCATGCATCTATCTATGCTTTAATCGGCTGTTGACCGGTTCCTCCTTCTTCGTGGCCTCATAATACTCCACCACGTCCAGAAATATGCATGCTTTTCTCTACCCGCTCATGTTGGGGAGGGGGTGATGAGCGCAGCACCGAGTCACTTCCCAAGCTGTGCAGCTCCACCTGAAAAGCAGGTCAGCCCTTTGAAAGCCTGGCTCCCAGGAGGCTTTGCACCGACACCGGAAGTGGGGGTTCTGTCAACATCTGGGACACGTCACTGAGCAACCAAGCCCAGCACCCAAAGGAGACTAAGTGGAAATGTCATGAGAGGCCAAGCAACCTAGTCCAGCACTCGAACGAGACTAAGTTGTAGGGGAAAAGTCACATGACCTAGCAATCGAGCCCAGCACCCAAACAAGATTAAGTTGAAAGAAAAAATGTTTTGTAACAGAACCACCGAGTCCAGCACCAAAACATTAAGTTGAAGGAAAGAAATGTCACGTGAGACAGAGCAACCGAGTTCAGCACCCAAACGACATTAAGTGGAAAGAAAAAGTGTCTTGTGACAGAGCAACCGAGTCCAGCACCCAAACCAGATAAAGTTGAAAGAAAATGTCTCATGGCAGAGCAACCAGGCCGAGCACTCAAATGAGATGAAGTTAACTGGAAAAATGTCAGAATCTTGGGTCTCCGCCCAGGGGCATTCCGGGAAAAGACGCTCATTGTTGGGTCCACGAGGCCGAGGATCAAACACTGAATTTGGGGTTCGTGTGTAAACAGGACTGAGCGGGCGGTGTGCACACATGAAGCCTGACCACGCGCGCCCCTCCCCGCCTCTCCCCGCCCGCGGCTGCAGCCGGCACAGACCGGTTTCCTGGGTCCCTGGGCTCTGAAGGTCACAGACTCAGCACAGCACTCTGGTGTCCCGTCCTCGGTGGGGACTTGTCAGACAGCCATGCGGGAGCACTCGGCTCAACCTTGCCAGCACCGCAGACCCCGTGGTGAGACTCTGCGCTCCCCGCGGTGCTGGAGATCCGATGCGCGCCTTGAGGTCGTTCGGGATACACTCACACCCACACACACACACGCACCACACACGCGTGCGTGCACACGGCCCCGCCCCTGTCCGTGAGTACGTGACGTCACACCCTTCCGTGCCCCGTGACGTCACCCACCGCGCTCCCCCCCTCCCCAAACTGCAGCTCGCTGGCCGCGCTGGGAACCGGGTTTTTGCACACGAGCCAGGCCGAGCCCCTCCCGCGCCGCCGCAGCCCCGGGTGAGTGACAGGCGCTGGGGGCGGGGCCAACCCCCCGCCCCCCCCCGCCGTGCCGCAGTCCCCGGCGGCGAGGTCGGCCCCACAGTCGCGCCGGCGCGGGGCTTGGTGCTGGGTTCTCAGTACCCCCGCCCGCCGTGTTTTCAGGACCACCCGCCCCGCGGCTTGCGGTTGTTTTCAGCTCGGTTCCCCGCGGTCCCAGCCGGGTCTGCACCGCGTTCCCAGCACCCCACCCCACCCCGGCCGCGGCGGATGAGCCTGGGGTCGTGCGCACCGCGCCCCGCCGGGGCCTCCCGATGCAGTCGCTGATCTCGCCGGTGACCAAGGCGGTGCTGGTGGCTCTGTTCATCTTCGCCATACTGCTCATCCTCTACGTCATCCTCTGGTACATCTGCCGCGATGTGGACTGCGACCACGGCCTCTAGCACCGCCAGCCCTGCCGTGTGCACACGGCCCCGCTGCCCACCGCGAGCCGCGACCTTCAGGGACCCGCGGGTGAGTGCTGGCGGCTCGGTGCGCGCCACTTTCCTGAGGGTGTGCAGGATCGGGACGCGGCTGCAGGTGTCTGTCTACGTCGCGGGCTCCCCCTGGGTGCTGGGTGCTCGATCCCTGGGGTGATGGACACCCCTCCACCCGCTGGGAGACTCGGGTAGGCTGGGCTAGGTGCACCAGCCAGATGCTGGATGCTCAGTATCCAGACCCCTGCGTGCTGGGGAGTCGGGGGTCGAGGCTGGTGTAGGAGACAGAGGCTGGAGGGTGGGAATCGTCCCGAAAGTCTGGCAAGCGACTTAGCACAAGGTCACAAGCACCTCCAAGGCACAGAGTTTAATATCTGCAGAGACCCAGTTTGCCAGGCGCGTTCCCCTGTGTGCACACGGCCCAGAGTGAGAACCTGGTGGGGGGAAGTGTCAGCCGGATCCAGCCGGCTCAGGCCCTGGGGTGGGGGTGGGGGCGCCCATTTTCAGGATTGTGGAGCACATGTGGCTGTAGGGGAGGTCTGTGTATCGGGGGCTAGCTCAGGCTACGTGGTTGTCAGTTGCAAATGTCGACTGTGTGTGACATCACGGGGCTCCATGCACCACTCACAGTAGGACAAAGCGGGGAGACAGACCTCCGCAGCATAGCTAGAATTACAACCCTAGACTAGAATCCGGGACAGCGCACAGTAGGACCAGTCGGGGAGATTGATGTTCACAACGTAGCCAGAACGCAAACCGTGGACCACGCACAGTAGGACTAGTCTCACAGATAGATACCCGCAGCACAGTCACAGTTAGAACCAGGGACAGTGCACAGTAGGACCACTCAGAAGATAGGTGTTCACAACACAGTTAGAATCCAGGACAGTGAACAGTAGAACCAGTGGGGAGATAGCCATCCACAGCGTAGTCAGAGTTAGACCCCGAGATGGCACACAGTAGGACCTGAATTAGAACCCTAGACTGCACACAGTAGGGCAACTTGGGAAGACGGACATTCTCAGCATAGTCAGAATGAGAACTCGTACAGCGCACACTAGGACCATTTAGGAGATAAATGTCTGTAGCATAGTCTGTTAAACCGCTAGAGAGCGCACAGTAGGACCAGTCAGGGAGACAGATGTTTACAGCACAGTTAAGATTAGAATCCAAGACAGAGCACAGTAGGACGGATTGGGAGATAAATGTCCACAGCATAGTCAGAATTAGAAGCTGGGACAGCACACAGTAGGACCAGTCAGGGACACAGACGTCTGCAGCATAGTCAGAGTTAGACCCCTGGACAGCGTACAGTAGGACCAGGGTTAGAACCCTAGACCACGCACAGTAGGGCGACTTGGGGGGGAAGGACGTTCGCGGGCAGCGTAGTCCGAATTAGAACCTTGGACAGCGCACAGTGGGGCAAGTTGGGAAGCTAGACATTCATACGGCGGTCAGGATTGTGGCCCTACGCAGCGCACAGTAGGACCAGTCAGGAGAAAGACACCCGCAGTGTGGTCAGAGTTAGAGCCCTAGACCTCGCATAGTAGGGCGACGTGGGCAGATAAGACGCCTACAGCGTGGTCAGGGTTAGAACCCAGGACCCTGCTCGGCCCAAGCAGCTGACTATGCGCACAGCAGTAGTTGACACTCACCCGGAAGTGAGGAAAAGGAGTTGGGGCAGAACCTGAGGCCGGAATCCGAACTCACTGAGGTCTGGGGGGCGGGGCACGGGGGGTGACGACATCTGGGAGGGCGGGACGGAGGGTGATGGACAGATGCACCCACAGACAGAGTGCATCATGGGAGAGGAAGAGACGGAAGGATGGGTGTGTAGACGGATGATTGATGGATGCATGGATCGATAGGTGGATGATTGACAGATGGATCGATAGATGGATGATTGACAGGTGGTTATGGAGCTACTG